CGGCGGGAGCGCCGCTGTGCTCCCAAGCGGCACACTCTCCAGTGCGCCACCGGGCCGGCCCCCAAAATACTTATTTTTTTAAATTAATTAATTTTTTTTTAAAACAAGTTATAGCTCATCACCTCTGAGAGAATATGAGAAAGCTGGTTACTTAGCATCATTGAGGAGAGATACTCAGAATGCTGTAAAAGATTATTACCTATTTGTTCCTGAAAGTTGGCCAAAGTCCATTAAATCACAACTAAGTTAGCTTATCACAGAAGCATAGTGTCTGGCCTATACCTAGCTGTGCTTCTAACACACCCCCCCTTCCAGTAAAGCTATTTTCCATCAAAGATGCTGCCATTGTTGCTTACCACAAAAGATGCTCCCTTCCCCACAAATATGTAAGCCAGGTTAGGCTGAACCTTTGGGTCCCTTCTCCTATAGCACTTTCCCATGGTATGTCCAGCTGGGTCTGGCCCAGGCACCCCTTTCTGTGTGATAATGAGAATCTAAGGAATTTTGTGGACTCTGCTCCTGCAGTTTGCCAGTATATCTTATTCTGCTTTTATGCTGCCTATTGCTGAGAGCACGTGCTGCCATACGCCCCATCACTCATGTCAGCATCGTTCACCATCCTAAAGTCTTTTCTTATTTGTATTGCCAACTCCACCACCCAAACTCTTACACAGCAGAGAAATGGCCAGGCAAGAAAACCATAGCAAGACTTACTCCAGCTCCTGTAATTTACAGTTTGGAAACATCACGGCCAAAGTCAAAACCAATACTCCATGATTTCGTAAGTAATTCACACTCAGATCTAGATGTTTTAGACTTTTCTTGACCATAAGAACTTTCCCAATGGAACTGCAACAACTTTGAGTGAGACAACAAAAGCATAACCTGCATGGGATCACAAACACATAAAAAATGGTGAGTTAATAACAGTATAAGTGCCTGAAAGAGGGTCAAGTGTGACCACCCAACCAAAAATCCACAAGTGTCTCTATGCCTTCTGCTGCCACAGCCCCGAATCTCTACTCATGACTTTCTTATTGGGAAGAGTAGATTTTTTTT